CTGACGCTCACCTGCCGATTCTCTCGGCTTCTCGCACCACCTCGTCGCTGGCTGTGTGTTCGTTGTTCGAGAGACCGTTTATCACTGGAGAGGTTTTTTGTTCGGAAAAGTTGTTCGTGAACCGATTTGTTCGTGATGATAGCTGTTCGTGACTCGACGTCCCACTGTATTTTCCCTTAAACAAAATCTGAAGATGAAGCTCAGTTGAACAAAAATAAATAGAAACTTCTTGTCTGAATCTTGTTTCGAATTTAGAAGTATTTTAATCATTCTGTGAGTTTGAGACGGTCTAATTTTCTTTTTTTTTGTCGTCTGTATTAAATGCCGAACGCATATTCCACCTTATGCGAAAAAATAATGTTCAGAGCTATCATATCCTTTCGTTATTTCAAATGAAGCAAACAAAGAAGAAACTGCGTCATTGAACTTAGAAATAAATGCTGTTCTTCCTGGATAATTGTATTGAATGTGACAAATGTGCGAATCGAAGTGGTTCTTACGTTATCATATAGGTTTCTATTGGGCATTGACCTTCCCAATCTTTCTGTACATCTACGAATCTTAGACATTAACAGCAGAATCCAACCATTAGAAATGAGAGGCTACAGAACCATCTTAAGCATCTTTTGTGCGGTCCGCGTCACAAAATGACGCAGTGCGAGACATTATCAAACAGAAATTCTTTTGTGGAACTCTCTTCCGGCTTCTTGCTTCCCAGTCAACTTTGATCTTCCAAAATTTAAATGCAATGTCAATCATTATCTTCCGTCTTCTTAATTTTTGTTCTTTCCTTAGTTTTTTTTTTTCTCATATTTTTTTAACTTTCAGTAACCTCTTGTCTTTATTGCTTTGCTTGTGGTGAAATGATTAAAAAGAAAAGAAAAGAAAAACCTACCATCAAGAAGAGAAAGTTAAAATGCTATGGACACGTCACAAGAGACAACAATCTTTCCACTACCATCCTACAAGATACCACCTCGGGCAAAAGAAGATGATGAAAAACTGAGCTCTAGGCCGGTTTGAATTCAGAGTTTTCCTTCTCCTAGACCGGTTCCAACCAAGGCTATTTACTCATAGCTGGGAGGAGAAGAATAGGATTCATACCTTTCCCAAGGGTATTAACGCGTAAGGGAATGTAATGGATTCGACTGGAATTCGAACTCGGCTCTCCGATTCTTCAATCCGAGCAGCTATCCATTACTCCGCCTCCTATATTTAATGGTAATATTATGTGTAAAATTAAAGAATTAAGTCCTGGGTATGACGATAAACTACATCCGCGTCCTGTGTAAGACGATAAACTACTTCCAACAGCAAGGCCTCTGATCAGGTGGTTTTGAGGAGCGTGGAACTACCTCTTAATTCCTGGTGTTTTATAAAATCTTTCTCTTAAAATAATTTTTCAGGAAAATAGCTTTCTCGAGTCAAATACATATCATTATTTTCTCTTCTGTGTCAAATTTGATATTCATTTAACTCGGTGGTTCTAAACATATTTTCTGAGGTGCACCCCTTTTCACCATAAATCAGGATGTCATATCTCCTCCTTTCCAAAATTGTTCCATTCAGAAGGTGCACTTCGAATACCATGCATTGAATTAAGTTTTTTGTTTGTGTATCCTTACCTGACATCAGTGAACAAAATAGTCTGCATTTATAAAATTTTTTTTTTTTCAACGCGCCCACGAATGTGACAGAAGTTTAGATTGGGTTTACCGGTAAACATGGCAATTCACAGATTATAAATAAAAGGAATATGTAGAGAGTCATAATCGCCTACGTCCTAAAGGGGGGTGGCATTTTGCTTATCTTCCGGTTTACACACCTCACCAGTCTTTTGAACAGGAGTAGAGGTTCATCCTTTATTTCATGTTTAGGATTCACTTACCGGTCCCTACTGGTCTGTCTCAACTCTATACTCCTAACATGTCAACTTGAACTCTGAAATTTTATTCGCTATTTAAATCTTGATCTCTTCAAGACTAGAGTTAGCTGTCTTTCCTGCTATCTTGCTTGCTCTTTCTTACACTAATACAATTCCACGCCGTAACACTTTGCCTTGAGTGAACCTTGGGGCTTGTCTTGGGTCAATATTAGTAAAAAGAAGTAGCCTAAAATGTAGGAGCTTTGAGTTTTCGAAATTAGCCAAATTTCGCAATATTTATTAAGTTCTTTGGAGTAATATTCTGAATCTTGCTTTTTTATCATTGCGTTTCAGTTATTTTTCAGTTTCAACATTGGTTTATTATGTTGAAGGAACAATTAGCAAAGAAGAAGAAGAAGAAGAAGGAGGAGGAGAGGAGGAGGAGGAGAAGAGGAGGAGGAGAATGAGAAGCGGAGAAGAAAAAGAATAAGAGAAAGAGAAGACGAAGAGGATCCATCTTGTGCCTGAATTTCGAGATGAAATCTTTGAGTAGATTTGGTCCGAATATATGCAATGATAAAAATCAAAATCTGATCTCGCTTGAAGTGTTCATTTCTTTCTCTCTACTGTTTTATTGGTTCTCGTACGAACACCGAAGTTAAGCAACGTCGAACCTGGACAGTACCTAGATGCTTGACCATTTGGAAATACCAGGTGTTGTAAGCTTGGGTGTATCAGTACTCAAATGGATAACGGCTCGGAATTATAGAAAGCCGAGGTCAAATTCCAGTCAGGTTCGTTATAATCATTTGGCAAACAGTATGAAGCCACCACTTCTCTCCTCAGCTATGAGTTAATTAGTACGACTTGCATCAATAATTATTATTATTTAAAAAAAAATCTTACAATTTAAAAATATTTTCTAGCTTTAAATAACTTATTTGGTAATCCGTAAAAACAAATTAATTCATCAATCTTCATTGTTTTCCTTCGTTTTTTTTGTGGGGGGTGCAAGCTTTGAAATTGAGAAGGAGGCAAACACATGTACATATGATTACAATGTGAAATCATTAAATGATTTTCCGAGTTGATATTTCATTTTTTTGTTGCTTCGTTTTTCTCTTAGTTTCTGTCTTACTTTTCCTGTTTATTATTTATCAAGTTGACACAAAACCACATATATGGGGCGACTAGTGAGAACTGAACTCACTGTAGTGATTTAGTAAGCGTAGCTTCGATGTGGCACAAGGCCGCACGTATGGAGCACCCATTGAGGATCGAACTCACTATTCAGCCGTAATTGGTCTAGTCAGGCAATCTTGCTAACCAATGCACTACATTGAAGGGCTCTGGTGATTTAGTAAGCGTAGCTTTGATGTAGCATAAGGCCATAATTATGGAGCACCTAGTGAGGATCGAACTGAGTTTCACTCGTAATTGATCTAGTCAGGCAAACTTGCTAACCAATACACCACATTGAAGCACCCTGGTGATTTATTAAGCGTAGCTTCGATCTGGCACAAGGCCGCACGTATGGGGCACCCCTTGAGGATCGAACTCACTATTCATTCGTAATTGTCAAACTGCGGGAAAAGAACTTGACCGTTGCCAATCCCTGTCACGATATTTGCAAGCGGTCGGTGAAGGAAATGGAACAGATTCTCAGTGACTTTATCGAGCGACCCAGGAATGTGAAGGTTATATGTCAGTCCATTTCAGGAAATAAACATGAGAAGAACGTCTACACAAACGTCATCGAATCAATCTTCAGAAACACCAACAGACAGATTGGTTCGGAATTCAAACAAATATCACCTGAAGAAGGCTAGGGAATAAAACGGTCGAAACGTTGTGAATGTGACAATATAGATGAGGAAAACAGTCCAAACAATGTAAATAGTGTAAATAATTACAATACAGTGAGTCCCCGGTATTCGCGGGGGTTAGGGACTAGAACCGACCGCGAATAGTTAGAATCCGCGAATACTTATCACCCACCCCCTAAAAGTGCTTATAAGTACCTATTTTGATTGTTAAAACCCCATATGCCTTAAACTTTCATCGTAAACACTTTAGAAACATTTCAGACCATTTTAAAAACATTTTTGAAAAATTGTATTGGTGACCATACATTTAGCGTAAATTTTCTTTCATATGTACAATAACCGTTTTTAATTACGCATAGATCGATACAGCCATTGAAAATACTGTATAAAAAGTGTGTAACAAGATATAAAATATAAAGTTTAAAACATCTAAAAAAAACAGAACTGTGATGATGCCCCCAGACTTAACACAAAGCCACTTTTAAGACCCCAGCCGCAGCCCCTAACAAAGAACAACGCCCAAGCACTACGCAAGTTTTTGCGTTTGTTTTTTTTTACAATGAAGATGTACAATTCTGCCAATTTTTACCACAAAAATGGGCTGTTATATGTTTTAAGTCACTTAAATAACAGGAAAATAATACAAGAATATTTTAAATATGTTCTATTGAAAAAATACGCGAATCGAGGGAGTTCTCGTCGAATAATTTATATATTTGTTCAGAAAAACACGCGAATATTCGGAGTTTTCGCGAATAACAAGTACATATTTTCTAAAGAAAAATCCGCGAATGTGTGAAGCCGCAAATACTAAAACGCGAATAGGCGGGGGCTCACTGCACTTCATCTCAGAAATCTAGACAAAAAATATTGACTTTGAATAAATAATTTTTTAAGTCGTTGTCGTTGTTATAATGTAAATTGATATTGTTTTTCATTTATTTTTTTAATAGGATATGACAATTTTGGGGTTAAAATCGATGTCTTTTCCGCCATCAATTAATTACATTTTTTTTATATTGCATTGTTTTTTCGTTTTTTTTTTGTTTTTTTTATTAGTTGAGTGTTCTGTTTTTGAATTTGTTTTCTCTATCAGTTAATTGTCGCAAGAGAAAAATTTGATGATATATTTTTTTAGTTCTCTGTTTAGGCTTTCTTTTTCCATCGATTGTTTTTATCCGTCGATCTGTACTGGAAGAGGAAAAATTATACAGTTTAAGAATTGTTTTCTCTTTTTTTTTTTTTTTGCAAGTATTCAACAACAAACTGACTATGAAAGGAATATTTTTTTTTTAAACTGAAACTAAGAAATAATAATTGAGAAAGGAAAGTGTCCGAAAACGTTTCACCAAAATCTCATTAAGTTATGAAACGGCTAAAAAAGGTTGTGTTCGTCTTTGGGGTTGACAATGTTTTGTGCCCTCATAAACGGTAGCGAACACAAATAGAAAGTGAAAAAAAGGGTAGAGAAATAAATAAACAAAATAAAAATTAACATAGCAGGAGTGAAAAAAAATGGATGTGTTCATTTGAGTTTAAAATATAATTTTTTTCTCCTCGATGTGCAAATCTTGAAACATCTAAAAAACAAACAAAAAAAACCCCAAAAAAACAAAACAAAAAAACAAAACAAAACAAAAAAAAAAAACGGGTTGATTTTTGTCGACCCAATTTCTGGGGTGGGTGTATTTTTCTTACACCCACTACCGAATTAAAGGCTAAGCTTTCGAGCCTGCAGTCCAATGGCATCCACCAGCTGTGAGGTTGGGGTTCTCCAGGGATTAAGTGAAAAGTGATTTCATTTGTGCATACTAAATTGAATTTATATAAATTATCTATTTAAAAAAAGGGTTTAATTAAAATCAAGTAGGGTGCTATAAAATAAAAATGTAGGTGTGGTCTAAGTCAGATGCTAGATTTTAAAGATTTCTAATTCTATATTTTGTATTCGACTTTTTTGGTCTATTATTCCAACTGTAAACATTTTTTAATTTGTTTTGCATCTCAAAATAAAAGTCAAAGAACTGGGGTCAAATTCAGATATTAAAAGCAACGTGTCTAATCTAAAAGTTTTAAAGATTCTTGGTTCGATATTTTTATCCGGTCCTCTCATAAAATTAATATTTTTTAGGTCTTTTATCCGACTGTAAACGTTTTTTGTTGTTTTGATTTTGACCTCAGAATAAAAGTGAGAAGTGGGGGTCTAAATTAGATATTAAGTGTTGTGGGTGTCTGTTATATACCGTACCTATGAGCACTAATGGCTATGTCTCAATCCTCATAAATAATGTTAGACACTATTGTAAATGGGGGTAATATGCTGTCTAAGAAGTCCATCACTAGCAGTGGTTTACCTGCTTCACGCCGCTGGCGAGTATTGTATTTTGTTGATGTTATAAAGATTACCATTTCATTTCCAACCTCGTTTTAGTTATTCCTCATTCAGTAACCTTTTCTAGGTCACAACAGTGTCTAAGTCAGATGTTAAATTTTAAAGATACTTGATTCTATATTTTTCATCAGACCCTCACACAAAATGAATATTTTTTAAATAGACATTTTAACCTAGGGGCAAACAATATTTCGTTTTAATTTTAGACACACACACACACACACACACACTATACACTATATATATATATATATATATATATATATATATATATATATATATATATATATATTGACAACACGTCAGGCCAGATGACGATTTCCGTATGGGATGCAGGTTCGCATCTCGTCGGAGAACGCATAATTTCTACGAAAACTTTCAGGCCGGTAAATATAATTAATACTGTTTAATTAAAAACAGCAATTACTTAAATAGATTGTCTCCATAAAAATAAGGTATGAACAGAAAATATATTAAAATATTTGTGGGATTTAATCCATTTCATATAATATATATATATATATATATATATATATATATATATATATATATATATATATTTTGCTTGCTTTAAGCTATGCTATATTTATGGATTAAAGTGTTCAATATCAACGATAGAGCATATATAAATATAAAATGGACATTGAAGTCAACACCCAGAGGTGACAGTCTGTTTCATGGCATGACTATTGCGTTTAGCATGAGACAGACAGTCGCCTTTCGGGTGTTATATATATATATATATATATATAATTCTCAAAATGTGTGTGTATGTATGTTTATGTGTTGTTGTGTGTAATCGTATGTTGTTTATTCGTTTCCACAGTTTTTTTTTTGTTTGTTTGATAGATAATTCTTCAGTGCCGGTTTTGAGTCCAAATTGGCTCGAAAAAATTACAACCTTGAAGGTGAAAAATCAAAAAAACTTTTTTTTTTTACACTTTGCGCAAAAATCAAAGGCAAAATTTAATGTCTGTAAAAATCAACGCACAGTCAATTTCGAGAGTTGAAATCTAACGAAAAAGATTATTAGGATTATAACAAAAATTATATTATAAATAAAAATGATCGTATACTATTATGACGGTCCATGGAAGAGGTTCCTTCCTTGCAAGATTGAGAAGGCAAAAATGGCCCTTTTCAGCCCCACCTTCAAACTGTTACTCCTCCATTTGGAGATGCGCTTCAGTTGCGTCCATTTGTTGTTACTAATATTGATTTTCAGGTGGGTTAACTTAAACTGCTCCAATTGAACGGCAAAAACTCCCAGCAATGAAACACCTGGTCGAAGATGGGGTATACTGCTAGTATATATTGATTTTCGCTTGTGTTTATTTTTCTTCTAGAATGAGACTTATAAAACTTTTCTGTATATCAGATTTATATAAAAGTTTTAAAAGCTTACTCTTCAAGAAAAAAGAGAAGAATGAGGTATTCTGATTTATTTTGAAAATTAATGGTAGCAATGATTCCAGACAAAAGTAGTTCAGTAGTATTGTCATAGTT